TCTTGGTACAGTTGGTAAACCCTAGTAGTGTTATCTTGTCCAGAATATAGTTTCCTTGCATGATCCCAGACTTCCTTGGTTGTATCTAAAAACATGAAGTTCACACTAATTTTGGACTCCATGCTGTTCCATAGCCAAGTCATAATTTGAGCATCCTCCTGCTCTCATTCATCATATCCCGGAGAATCAATTGAGGGTTTGTCTTCTCTCACATGTTTCACTTTCTTTTTGGCTTTCAGGAAAACTTCAACAGACTTAGCCCAAGGGACATAATTCTCACCATTCAGTTTTATAGAGGTCATCTGCACATTCAGATAATCAAAAGGCACCATCACACTTGATTTGTATTCACTGCTGTCTCCCATGATTGCACAAAAAAACAGTGGGAGGTTGTACCACTAAATTGTTACTCTACTTCCCTAATAAATCACCACACTCCACATGAATGATTGAACACCACTAGGGTTCCTAGTACCAGGTTTCAGCAGAAACACTCACAACTATTCACCACTGTTTCAGCAATAATATTCACAACTGTTCACCACTTTTAGCAACAGCACTACTGTTGCCATTTACTGTCAGCACTAGAAACCCTCACAACACACCTAACGAATAATATTTTCAGTTCTGCAACATATAAAAGAAACTTGCTACATACCACAACTTAGTTCGAAGATCATGTACCTGTCGAGTAGAGGGTACCAAGTCTGCACTGTCACCATCACAAAATCAGCCATCTTCGAATTGCGAGTAGAGGGTTTTCTACCAACCACACAAAACCACAACGACTACATTCATTGGAGGCATGGAAACCCCCAAAAGGAGAAAACGACCAGTCCTTTTCTTCCTTTCTGGAAAACTCTCTAAATATCAATGAGAATTCTGCAAAACCCTAGAGAAGAATGCGCAGAACAGAGAGAAAAGGAGACAACTGATCTGAACTGATTATCATGGCTTTGATACCATGATAAAACTCATATTAGATGTTCGTATATGTTCAGATCAGAAGAAAGAGAAGGAAAAGAGAGAGAGAAGGAGAAGGAGAAAGAGAAGAAAAAGAGCGAGAAAAGTCACAGCCGAACTAGAGAGAAAAATCTCAAAACCTCTAGTCGGCCCTTCTTTTATTTATACTCTTCTAAGATATACAAGGATTACCATTGTGCTCTCACTTAAGTGAGGGCCACATCAGCAGAGCAATACATATATAACTAAACATAAAAGGACTTTAGTACCCTTGTACAACCAACTCTAACAGGGCTGAGAGTAGGTTTCTTTCACAACATCCCAAATTTCTTTAGGTGTTTTTGCCCATAAGTAATTTTGGCTGATGTGTGGCTGCATAGAGTTGCACAGCCATGTCATCACCAAATAATTTTCCTGAATTCACTTAGCATAAGTAGGATCCTCCTTGGTTGGTTCCTTCACATAGAATAAAACTTATCCTCATCCTACTAGGAAAGCTGATCCTAATCAATTAAATCTAAGTACATCTCAGGGTGTCACACGAATACTCTCAATGTGGGATCCACAGTTTCCTACACAAAATAAGAAAAAGAAGATTACTTAATCATGGAATCAGCACCTAGAGGAACTATTAGGAATCAAATAATCAATATATAATAATTTCTTGAAAGAATTGGCAAAAAAAAAGCTAAGAGTTCAAATTTTGGAAAGAGCCTCTCTGTGTATCTTCAGGGGTAAGGCTGTGTACATCTGTCCCTCCCCAGACTTTGCATTGGTCGGAGCCTCGTGCACTGGGCTCACCTTATAGTATAGATTTATTTTCCTAATATAAGGATTTCTATAACTTTCTAACCCATATATATTGTTGGGCTAACTTCAAAATTGAGTTGAATTCCTAAAAAACTTCTAAAAGTTGACTTTTTGATCCATTACAAGTTTGACATGAATTTCTAACAAGAAAACAACCCAACTCATCCCAATTTTAATCCCAACTATTTGGGGTTGGCTAGACAAGTCCTGTCCTATGATTTTGCTCTATCAAGAGACATGTTTTCATTGTCTGGAGAACGTATTGGTATGTATTTGTCATTCAAAATCAATTTATTGCAAGTCTACTATAACTCCATTCAAAAAGATGAATATCCCCCAAAATGAAAATCTGTTGAGCTGTTTGAGGGTTTTGAGAGGCAAAATGTAGATGGATTGCTCGAGTAAGAAAATATAATTGGAAGAAGAAAATAACTTACACAAATGGCCTATAACTAAATTTCTAACAGTTACAAGTTCAACAAGCTGGAGATCTTGTTCAAGATCAAAGTGATTTGTGTAATTTAACTTGGAACAAGAATTAGCATGTCAGACAATGCAAATCTATACACACATCCTAAAGAAGAGGCAATGAAAGATGAGAACATTTAATACTAGAGTCTTGAATTCTGGAGATAATACATTTAAGACTCAAACTGCTAAATGTTTAATTGACTTTATGCTTTTGGTTGCCTGATTGGGGTCAAACTCTATTTACATAATGATCAGAGAACCTACTGGTAGATCTTAAATTTCTAGGTGATTGGGAGTGGCATTTAAGGAAGTTTGCCAGTTGGTTTTGAAAATCTAGCTAACTGGTTAAATCCAGGTCAAATGTTACACTCTGACTATTTGACCTCAGATTTTGAATGGTGTATTTCCAGACTCTGAATAGGCTGTGATTATTAGTAACTTTTTGGGAGGAATCTCAAATTTCATTGACATAACTAAAGCATACCATGTATTGCTGGCTTCACTGAATAGTGGGGCAGATGCCAAAAAACAGATTTGATCAATAAAAATATCGTGTACTTGTGGAAATATGTAAAATATCAGGAAATGGTGTGGAGCCTGTTTTAAGGAATTGAGAATAAGTAAGATAAGAAGAAGATGATAAAGGGGAAAACTCCTGTTTTATTTGATTAGAGAAGTAGAGAAGAAGAATTAGAAGATGATGGACTGGCCGATTCCCTGCCACTGAGGAAGAAGTAGAAGGAAGAAGAGGGGTGGTACCCCTGAACCAGTTAAAACAGGAAAGAAAGAATAAGGAAGATGGCTTGAGTGCCTATTCTATAAACCACGGAAACCACCTGTGGTTTTCCCTCTGAAATTTGTAACCAATGTAAATACACCCAGAATCTGTGAGTTTCTGGGTTCTGTAAAAAAGATAAAAAATGCCTAGAACCTGAGTTTCTGTATTATATATATATATATAAAGATAAAAACTCAGAATTTGACTTTCCAGATTTTATAAAAAGATGGAAAATCTGAGAAATGGCCTTTTAGTTTCTAGGATCAAGCCATTTTCTCAGGGTTGTTTCTATAATCAAGTATATGAAAACTGAACTAAACACTCAATTGTCCTGTCAGAATTGTATTCTAACTAGAATCCAGATTCTTAAAATGTTTTTATCATGTGACTTGGAGCAGTTTTCAGGTTTTTGTTGGTACTAGGGGTTTTTTTAAGAGACAAAATGAACAATATATTTTATCAAAAATAAAATGAACAATATGTTCTACATATGTCTAAACTCCTTTGCCCAAAATTACTTCTACTTTCTATTGTATTACTGTTACTGCCTTTCTTTTGGTTGTTTGAATACCCATCTCGGACAGCTGCTTGGTACCATCATGTCATCCTGATTCGAGGTCGGTTTCCATCAGGGCAAGCCCGTACCCACACCGTTCCAACCGCCATTTGCAACCTTGCATTGGGAATATCTCCCCATGAAATAAAGCACATTAGTACGGAGATATTCTCAATGCAAGGCTGTAAAGGCTGCTCTAACGGGATTTACCCTGACCGAAGCTGAACTCTCCTGATTCACCATATTAGGCATCATACAACACGACCATAGAAAGAATTCATGAGTTGTTCTATATTGAAAAATTGACCATATTCACAGGTGAATACTTGAATCACTAGGCTGTAAGAGGCTCTAAAGTTGATACTTTTGTCTACTAGCAATCAAAAACTGCAAGTAGTTGGGCTTTAACTAGATTCCATGAAAATTTTCTAATTAACTGATTTATTCTAACTTTTTAATGGATTCCTAATTTGTTTCTCTTATGCAGGAGATTTTTTCTTTTTCAATTGTATGCATGAAATATTAACTAATTCCAAGCACCTAGTATGGACCAATGTTTTAATGGAAGAGACATACTAGAGAGAAAGAAACATGAATTAAAATGAGGATAAATATAAAGTATGCACAAAATGAGCTGTATATTAAGGATAAAGTGTTAGGAGCTGTAGAGAGCCTCATTACATTCTTGCAAATGCATCAATCTCTATTTGAAATATTTTACTGTAAAATGATACCTCACAAGTGCTTTAGATACTCTAAATAGGTTAATCATAATGTGTATGCATGTACATATGTGTTAGGATTCACCTTTAAAGTTTAAGTTGGTCTTCCATGGAGAGTCCTACTTCGATTACTATATGAATTGCAAGGTATTAATGTAAGGTATCTCAAGATGTGGGGCATTTGTGTTATACTTTTAGATATAGCCCTCATAATTGAGGTTGATCTTGCTTGACGACACTAACCATAGAAGACCATGCAACTGTATAGGAGGAAGAAGAGATTTTGTAGACATCGTCTTGTTTATGTATACTTTCTCTTATCATGATATTGCAGATATAATTGATTAACTACTGTTGTCCCTTCAATAGGTTCATGACATGAAAACCCAAGCAGTGGTGATCGCGGGTCCATTTTCTTTCACCCTAAGCCTTCTGGCATCGATTTTTGCAGTCATCCTAGGTATGTTTGTTATAGGAATCAACTCTAAAACCATGCTTTTCACCAGCTATTGGAGGCTCAGCTATGTGAATCCTGCTCTATCATTGAAATTAGGAGTTAGGATCCATATCTGATTATACTGGACAGAACAGAATGGAAAAACAGGATTTACGTATCTGAACCCATATAGTTGGGACAAGGCTTAGATGATAATGATGATTCATGTCTGATGAGGGTGCATAGGTTATATGTTGGCCGTTGACCTGATGTAGTATTCCTAAACAGGCCTGGGGCTATAGGTGCAAGACTAGATGAATTACTTTACTTTTAAGGTTGCAGAAAATTAAATGTTAATAATGATTAGTAATTACTTTTTTACATGCAGCAATTAAGGAGTATATATGGACATATGCTGCTCTTGAGTTTGTCCTTATAGCTGTATCTCTCCACCTATTTTATTCTGTGGTGAGTAATCATTATCTCTACATAAAAACTTATCTTTTCCTTATTTTTATGGCTGGAAGATTTTCTAAGTGACTTTTCTTCCTTTTTGTTCTTTATTTACTTTAATTTGAAACTTTCTGCTTTCATTCAAGGGGAAAATCATCTAAAAGAAGTTATGAAGGAGACTAAACCATAAAACCACTGCATGAAAGTTGAACCTTAATGGCCAAATGCACATGGAATGTCATAGAGAAGCAAGTGAACCCTAATATTTGAAGCCAGAGAACCTCAAATGGAGAATGCAAATTGTCTTTTAAAGTAGAATAGGTTTAGCACTCTCAGCAGCAGTACTCCGAAAAGGTTTTGCTGGTTTATCTAATTTTATTAATCATAATAAAAACGGTTAATTGGACCATTCAGATCAAAGTGCCTCTCATGGTCACCTTAACTTATACCAACAGGCAATGGTTACAGAGGCAGGCTGCATAGTTCAGACTTTTCAGAATCCCAGTACTAGAGTGCAGAGATTAGTAACCAGAATCGTCTATTGAATACTCCAGGTAGCAGAGCACTGAGTTCAGATATTTTCATCTTTTTGTGTAAAACAATTTCTGATTGCTCTTATATTTGGACACACACATGCACACAAACACATTTTTCTTTCATCCACCAAGTCCCATCTCAAAACTTCACGTAGAACTCCAGCTTCCTTCATTTTTGTTTTTCCCTCCACAAACCAGTGTTTTCATCCTTTTGTGCAGGATGAACTCTTAACCTGATCAAATTTGATCACCTTCTACAACTATTTATTCAAATGCTACCTACAAAATTTCATTGAAAAATTCTAAGCTTAGACATATTTCTCTCAATTCAGAACTTCTCATAACTTTGAGACAAAATCTGTACTTTTTGCATTTAATTCCTAAGGTCCTTTCTAACCTAACTGATCTCTACTGTTAATCCTAAAATCATCACTAAACCTTTTCTGACCCATTATTAGCCTCCTATATACATCCTTGGGTCATTATAAGACCACATTAATTGGTAGCAAAATAGGCAGTCCTACATAATTATTTACTTACTGCATTTTGCCCTTGATGTGGTCTTATTATTTGCTCCATCAATTAGATAACTTGGCTTTAGGTATTCAAGTAAATCCTTCTTTTACTATATCTATTATTTTCCTTCTGATATTTACTTATTGCCTTGTGCAAGGGCAAAAGGCAGTGTAATTAATTTTCCTTCTAACTTTATTTCTTATAAGCACTATTTCCTTCCTATTGAGCTTTTGTGTTTTCCTTTTCTTTTGTTCCTAGTTCTAATTGCATTGTAGAGGTTCTCTCATCCCTAAGAATGAAGCAATGAGTCAAGAAATGGAATCCATTATCATAGATAACACTTGGGAGCTGGTCAATCTCCCTCCAAGGAAAAGTGCTAATAGGTTCTAAGTGGGTAAAGTACAATGTTGACAAGTGAATACAAAGGTACAAGGCCTGATTGGTTGGAAAAACCTATGGGATAGATTACCGGGAGACTTTTGTTCTGATGGTCAAAATGAACTCCAAGTAATGTCATCTCTTGCTCGTTATTTTTTTTTTTATCAAACAAATAACTTTTATTAAAAACATAGTAGTTAAGTACCCTTGGCTCTTTGTATACCTTCCAAAGCTGCCATAGTCTCAGTCCAAAGAGAATCACCCTCTCCTATTGGACCAGAATAAAGGGCGATTATCTTTCCTTCCTCATTCCTTAAAACTCCCCCAGTGCCAGAAGGCCCTAGGTTCCCAGCACTACTCCCATCAAAATTCAAATTAATAAAGCCACTGGGAGGAGGGGCCCAAACATGTAATGAAGGCACCACAATTGGAGCTGACCTTGCAACCTCCTTCCAATTTCTTAGCAGATCATCAGATGAGAAGTCATTAAACAGCTTCAAAGACTTCAGCCAGCCCACCACTCTAATGTGAATCACCTCCAAGACAGATTGTAGACCTCTTTCCTTATCTGAAAAGATCCTTAAATTCCTTTCTTCCCATATAGTATAGCATATTGCAGCCTGTTGAAGTTTGACCTGCCATAGAATTCTGTCTTGTTCGTTGACTGTAGTGTAAAGTAGACAGCAAGAAGTAGGAGAGGAAAGAAGAAAAGAGAGAAGAGAGAAAAGAGAGAAAGGCTGGTTCGAATTAGGGAAAAAAGTTAATCCCTTGATTCGGCCAG